TGGGCTTTTGCTTAAGCTTTTGAGAAGAAAGAGTTGATCAGTTGAAACCAAAGTGAATATAATGTCTCTCGACGTCAGCAGATAACAATGTCATTGTTTGTCTTCAGACCTGGAGTCTTTGTGAAAAGTTTGAATTTTGTTTGTGTTCAGGGACAAAGTTCTGCTTCATCTGCACATATAAATGCACATCGTAACTTCACAAGTCTCCGTTTGTATGTGCAAGTAATAAGTTTAATGTTGTGATAACCATGATAAAACGACATCACAGTCACAGCAGGATGAATGGGCTAATATAAATAATGCCCAGGGACCGATGGGTAGGACTTATGTCACAGAAACCTGAGCTGGGGCCGAAGGGTCAGGGGTTTCAAATATCTCCTGACACTGATCTGAACTGATTAAACCAATTCAAGTGGGTTTTTTTTGTTAGGGGCAAAATATGTTTGATCATCATCCAATCCATCAGGGTGATCCCAATATATATATATATATATATAAAAAAACCTGTGCCACGGTCCCAGGTTAATCACCCTTGTTGACGTCAGATGTACTGAAGATTTAACTTTTTTTTAAATCTTCAGTACATCTGATATATATATGTGTGTGTGTGTGTATATGTATATATATATATATATGTATATATGTATATATATATATATATGTATATATGTATATGTATGTATATATATGTATATATATGTGTGTGTGTATATGAATACTCACAGATTCGTGACGTGCAGTGTGTAGGTGTGAGTTCAATTCCCCACCACCACCACTGTGAGAACACCAAGTGGGGAAATGCCTTCAGCCAGTTATATTTTCATCACCCTGACCCTTACTACTTCAAGACTGAGGATGAAAAACGTTTTTAAATATTCTACATAAATGCAAAAATAATTGTGCCAGCTGAGCTGAACGGAGCCAAGACACAAGAGTGAATTTCAACTGTTAACAGTGTCACACAAACTGTGAAGAATTATTTCCATGTTTCAATAAACAAATGAACAGTGTTGGTTAAATGAGTTCAAACAATGTTAGTGACGTGGTGAGGTGTAGACTCAGCTACTGTATATATTTACTGTGGTATTATTCTGAGAAAAGACATTTCCTCAGGTGTTATATTAATTTGCTGGTATTCTAACAGAACAAATCCCTCAGTACTCCTCACGGCTGTCTTCTTCCCTGATGTTAAAATACCTCTAAACTGCTGACATTGTTGACCTACTTAAATAAACTACCATGAGGACAATGAAACACTGAACTGAACTGCAGTAGAAACACACATCACAGTGGTGGGCTGAGGAATAGCTGGTTGTAGAGAAAAGCTGTTTCTGAGAATCTGTTTGCTGGATCGAGTATTTGTATTGGGCTCCGTGCCTGTACCGTTATCGAGGCGTCCCTGGTTGAAAATGTGTCATAGAAAATGAGATATTCTCAAAGTACAAATCTTAGACATCATAAGCATATACACCATTGTGAGGAAAAAAACCAACTAATTTCTATTTATTTAATAAAGTTCCTGAATTTTGATTTTGAAAGAATTGTGACAGTTCTTAAACCAGAATGCCTTTCTGTGACTCAGCTTGTTCAACATCATGACACTAATGTCACCGTGATTCGTGGAAATTGTGTCATTAACTTGAAGAAATAACCATCATTGGAGAACGGTGGTTTACATCCACAAATGGTCGCACCGTATCTGCAGCCACAATGTCCTCAATCTTCCATCACAACACTCTTGTCCTGCAGAGGTGCAGAGAGTTCACTTCTCCCTTTAATTAAGTAAGTGCACTGGTTGATGTGCTCCACTGCCAGTGTGAATGAAGCTAAGAAACAGAGATGTTTTATTCAGTTTTCAGTCAGCTGGATGCTGCTCATGAACACTGTACTGTATTAGAATGGTTTGAAAGTTTATTCATTTGAAATAATACCACAGCTGACCAACATTCTAATTTAACATACCCCCTGGTATATTTACTTTTATTTTGAAACGTCTAGTAGAATTTGTAAAAGTATAATTTGAAAAATAATTTTTTTTTTTATTCCTTTTCCCCTTTGTAACCTTCCGTACTCACTGTCGACTGAACCTGTGGCTCACTCCCAGTGTTGTCTACTAGGGGTGTCCCATCTGAGGGACCTCACCATTCGATTCAGTAAGGATTTGATTATTTAACGATCATCACGATATTAACAATTATCGATGCATCTTTTCCCCCTCACTTTGTGGCTACTTCATACTTTTTCAAAAGGTATATTTGTCAGTATTTATTAATCAAACGAATGTGTCTCCACTATCTTTTATTCATGAGAAATCAAGAATTGATCCAACAGCATGGAACCAACAGGCATGGAACCAACAGGAAAAAAAAGTGTGCCTGTAACAGCAGCCTGTACAACAAACAGCTGCTGTTATACACAATAAGATCAACTTTGGTGAAATGTCTTCCACATTTTATGTAAAACAGGTATAAATAATATAATAAATAAGACTTCTTTTTACCAAAATCCTTAGTGGTTTTCACATTTCTGTACCAACAGGTCTATTACAAAATTATATTATACACATTTGAGCAGCTTTAAAACGATATTCTACACCATCAGCTGTAATTTGTGCACTGTTACCGTGACACATGACTTTGCAGCAACTGAAGTCCGTACGTTACACGTTAGCGCTCCTAGCGGACACTTTCTTCAGTGATCTCAGTCCTTTGGAACTGCTTTCCGGGCAAAGTAAGACAAACTTCCGCTTCGAGTTTGTATCTTGGCTCCAGCGACCGCGTCTCCACGTAAATCCTTAGCGATAAAAGTTGTGATGGTTGTTGAGATTCGTTTCGCCCTTTCAGAGCTGCATCGAAGTTTGGACAATCCTTCTTGTATTGTTCGCTGGTTAGCAGCAACAACCGGTGGATTTTCCTCAGCCCTTAACCGAACTGTAACAGCGTTAACTGCCGCCATCTTCTTTTGGTCTGTTCCTTCAGGTGTCCCGGCGGAACGCGCCATCGCGGTTGTGTTCCTGTCGTTTTGTTATTATGAAAAAAAAATCGTTTTTGAACATTTATGAATCGTAATCGAATCGTTGCGTGTCGCATCGAGATTAATCTAATAATCGTTGAATTGACACACCCCAGTTATCGACTGTAACCCACAGTTCCTGAATTTCCTGCAGATCCCACTTGTAGCTACAGTAAAATGACGTCACAGCTCCTCCATGTTCACAGCGTTGTGTCTCGAGTCGGTGACTGTCACGGTGTGTGGATCTGGCGTCTGTGTTGCAGCAGTGACACTGGTGTCGGTGGTGATTATGTGTGAACATACAACATAACTGTGTGCAGATGTCAGTGACAAATCTAGGCCATGTTCAGGTTTCTCCTGTGAATGTGTTTGAATATTAATGTTCTTATTCCCAAATGTATTCCCTCACAGTCATTGGTTGAAGTCGGGGTTTTTAATTCATCCGTGTGTCGTGTGCACATGTACAGTATGTACAGTAACTCCAGCAGTGCTGAACAGAATGACAGTGATCTCCTGCTTCTCCTCTGCTCAGGTCCAGTTGTCCAACAGAACTCTTCGACCTCGACCGTGACCTGGATGACTGAGAATCTTCATTCTCCTCTTTGTTTCCCACACGCCTTATTACACCTTTATCCAGTGCTGTGATGTATAATGGAGTCCATGTTCAGTGCAGAGTTATCGTCACCTCTTGCTAAGTGAAGCCATTGGCTGTGAACTGGTTAATGACTCTTTACATTCTAATGACTTAATGAAAGCTAATTTGGAAGAATGAAATGGGACGACAGGAAGTAAGAAGGTTCAGTGTGTGTGTGTGTGTGTGTGTGTTGTTTTGAGTGGTTGACATGTTTTTTGTGTGTCTGCACTCGTGTCTGTGTTGCAGACGAGTGTATACGTGTGTATGTTGTTGTGTGTGCCAAAAAAAGTGGAGCAGCCATTCAACGTAACTGGCTCTTCATCAGGAGGCGATGGTGGGGGTTAGGCTTCATTTAATCAGGGGAAAAAAACATCTCCCATTAACTTAATTAATTCAGTTCAGGGGAAAGCGTGAGCTGTGTGTGTGTGTGTGTGTGTGTGTGTATAAATGTTTACTTGTGTTTCTGAGAAAATGCATTCAAAGAGGTATATAAAAATAATGCAATGAAAAGGTTCAAACAGGATGATATGCAGAGATAGATTAAAGATTTTTAAATACAGCAAAGAAAAAAAAACATGTTAGAAAGTCAGAAAGACTCTACTATTAAAATACACAATAAAATGTCCAGAAAATATTTAATTAAATGCCATTAATGTCAGAAAAAACAAGTCTGTCAGTTCTCGTCATCCAGGTCATTTAATCCAAAAATAGTTAGAAAACTGGACAAAGTCGTTTTTTCGAAGACATTTTGCCTCTTCGTCCTTCTTCAGGTCTGTGTTAGGTCTGTGGTATAAAAACAAACAAAGTTTTCACCTTTCCACCAGCCTCCCTAATGTGAAGTGTTAAATATAAATCATGATCCGTCGACGTGGTCTGTCGCTCATCTCACCCCAGCCCATCAATTACTCACTGACTTCCCCTCTGACTCTGACTTTAATGCCCTGCTGCCAACACACAAATCCCCTCATGTTTCTGCACTCATTTCATTTCCACAGCTCCTCCTCCTTCCCCCTCCCTTTTCTTTTCCTCCTTGGGTCTGGTCTCCCTGTCCCAAAAACACCCTGCTTATGGAATGCACCCCGTCCATCTGTGCAGCCACCGCTATTGACTCTACGTATTGACTTCATGCTGCAGAAAGACAAATCTCCCAAAACAGATAACAGGATCAAGTTGGTGAAAAAAAGACAAAACTGACCGATGAAGTGAAAAATGTATATTATCTTTTGTTTTATTTTGAGAACATATTGTGATTTCACACCAATGAGATTGGCTTTATTTGGAGAATACATATAAACAGGCCACACATTGACACAATTCATTGGATACGTGACTAAGTTTTCCTTTGTTTCCACAGAAAAACCTGATTCTGTCGAGCTGAGCTGTGGACCTGGGCCCAGTCATGTAGTGCTGGAACCAGGTTCGCCCCTCGTGCTGGACTGCAACCTGGGGGCCAGCGAGACACCTTTCAATGTCACCTGGTTTCACGATGGCCAGGTCCTGCCTCAGGAGGGGGCTAACCTGCAGTATTTGGTCAACGGGTCTCTCCTTCTCCTGCCGTCCTCTGAAGACGGCCCGTCTGCACGCAACGTGAAAGGAAACTACAGCTGTGTGATAGCCGGCGCTCAAGGAGCCCTGACCAGTCGGACGGTGAATGTCCTGTTGGCAGGTAGGTCTTCAGCTTTAGAGATCTGAACCTGAGTTTATAAAATGAGTTTAAAATGACGTCCCCCTGGGTGTTTTTAGAAACTCAGGTTAATTGGTGATGCACTCTGTCAGTTCCACAGTTGATGCCCATCTGGGCCAAATGCATGTTATTAATCTTCCTCGCAGCTCTGTTGAAAATCATACGCTTTCTTGTCATTTATTTTTTCCCATCATTTCACGTATTTGCATATGTATGGTTTTATATCATTAGATTTTTGATGATTTGGGTTATGGAAGGTCAAAGCACTTTTCTAGTGTTTTGTAGAATCATGGTTTCTGTTACGTACTTAGACCAACAGAAATCATGCACACAAGGACAAAGATGGTGAGTGTGTTAGAGTGACCAGGCATAATCAATAAAGTGTGGGACAAAGGTTATATTTGAGTGGGAAAGTTTTAGAACATTCTATGAAGTCACAAAGTTGTACTGAGTTTTGAGCTGCACAAATGAATCACCTGGATTTACACTTTGATTTTGATCAGCCTAAAACCACTCCAGAGGGTTTAATAAGGTTTCATCTGTCGATCTAACTCAGGATGGAACACAAAGATTATGTCCTTGTGTCTGTGAGTCTAAAAAATAACATATATTTCTGTTGGAAATATATTTGCTGAGATGTGTTGAACTGACATATGCCACGACGTCTGTCAGGTGGCTGCAGTGGAGGTAGACACTAATGTGCTGCCCTTTTAAGATGTGTGGAGTGTGTGTTAGATGGAGCAGTAGAGGTGTAATCAAAGAGAGAGAGAGGGAGGGAGGGAGAGAGAGAGAGCACCGATGGGTGGTGGAAATAAAAGAGATGAATAAGAAAATTCATTCAAAGCAGACCTGCTGTGGCTCTTTATTTTCCTGTCCAAAGAGGCCCTGTTCTGTGGTCGTCTTTATTTAGTCATTAGCTTTGTATAAAATGAGACAGTGCTCTTTGGATGCACCCACTCTGTCAGCTGCCACATGCCTATTTATGAGCATCTCATTTGTGGAGAAACAGAGAGTGGAGGGAAAGGAGACGGAAAGGCCAAAGAGTTTGTTGCAGCGGTGAAAGGAAAGGAGTCAAGAGAACATTAGGTTTGACTCTGTCGTTTCATGATCTCTGTGTGGGTGTGTGCGTGCTTCTGTGCATGTGTGTATATGTGCTGTATTTGAATAAAACCACCAGGGTTAGGACAAGAAAAAGAATAACGCCACTATGTTTGAGGTCAACTCTGAAGTGCCGTGACAGTGGGAGAGCGGTCTAATGTCTTTCTGCAACATCACTGCCAGACACGAGACTAAAGAGAGAACACGGTGTATCTGTGCAAACACATTACAAGGAAAACAAGGAAAACCTGGCTTAGGTTAGGTTGGCTGGTTGCAGCGTATGATTAATATAGCACTGCTGCTTCACTGAAACTCCTGAGATACAGGCTGAAAGAGCAACACCAAATTCCATTAATGGACAAATGGAATTGCTTTGTAAAAATATCTTTATTCTTAATTACAGCATGTGAGCTCTCAGTTACCAGGCTGCTTCAGGAAGTGTTATTTCTGCTCCACTGCTTCTACCAGCGTTCACATGGCAGTTCAGCGTTAGGACGTCATGACGGATTTTCCTCTGTGTGCTAACGGTGTGCAGCTCAATAATGTTAAATTATTTGGTATTTGTCTCTTTCAAATACGTTCCCAAATGCATTGCAGCTGAAGTTTATTACTAACTCTGAGGCTATTCTTGCCAGTGTAAAATATTTCATATTTTCTTTGTAATAAACTGCATTTTATCTCTCACTTTAATGAGCTGTCACAGACTGGTAAACACTGAAGAAAAAGGAGGATATATGTTTTCCCATAATGGATAATCTTGGAATGTTTATTGTTTGTTGTGTTAAAAAACACCAAGATTGCGTAATGCGTCTTCAGCTGGAGCTACAAAAATCCTTCAGACTGGGGTCAGACTTGATGAGCTTTTTCACTGTTGTTTTTCAACTAGGCAGCAAAGAAGTCGTGGACAGAATTATCTGCCTGCACAAGGGGAGGAGGAAAACAGTGAAATCTGATAGCACTGGGGCCAAAGAGTGGGGCAACGGGAGACAGAGACGTGGAGAGTTGGGGTGAAGTCAAGACGAGGGGGGAGGAGGGGGGGGGCAGAATGTAAGAGTGGGCAAATTAAAAGACAGACTCGATGAGACTCCAACGTTAAAAAGAAGTTGCTTAAAGACGGACAGACCTTGTTGCTAGGCAACAGTTGTGTATCTTGTGTACCCCCCAGCCCCTGAGTGGATATGACAACTTTTCCTCTGACAATTGCTCTGTCAAAGGGGCTGTAACATTAGCATGTTAAAAAGGTCTGCCTGCTGTCTGGAATGGAACATGGAATCCTGGGTAAAGACTAATATGATTGTGTTTTTGTCAGGGTGGAGGTGGAAACTCAACCAGTTGCCATTGTTCCATCACAGCACAGATGAAGGGTGCCTCCTACTCCCTTTAGATTATTCCTCTGTCGCTGATCAGCTGTTGTCCACCAGTCAAACACAGAGCTCCTCATTCGAACATTTACTGTAGTGACTGACGTTTACTGTTCCACTGACCAATCGTTGACCTCTCTGAGTAACACTGTGGACTAGAGGCAGCCCAGTGGACCTTCTCTTCCTCTGGTTATATCACAGAAAGGTTTTGTCATTATACTGTCAGTACAACCAAATTGTAGCCGTTCTTAATACAGTAAAAGAAATCAAGTTAAATTATACACAGAGATTAGAAGTTATCTCTTGTTGTTAGTTATCACAGTAACTGTAACTGTATTAACCCTAAACACGTCTTCATCGTCACGACCACCATCAACAGATGTGCTGTAAATACAGAGATACTCTGATTCTCACACTGTGTTTCTGGCATCCCGTCAGGTTCTGGTTGGCAGTGATAGAGGTGTGTGTTTACATGTGGACATCACAGGGTTAATCATCAACTTCTTCTGAGCTTCGCTATGAACCAGTCGTTCCAAGACTTTTTCTTTTTTTCTGTTATTCTTCTGAGCTTCGCTATGAACCAGTCATTCCAAGATTTTTTCTTTTTAATGAAAAAAACCCTGTCTGTTACTACGGCCTGTGTCTCATTGAGAAAGTTTGTTCTTTCAGTGCAGTAGGAAAACACAGATGGCCGGTTGTTGCCATGACTAACAGTTGCTGTAACAGGGGTCAAGTGCTGTGTTTCTGTCACTTCACAGTGTTAGAAAGAAACAAATAGTTTCTGGGAACTGGACGTGGGCAGATATCTGATATAAACTTGATGATTTTCTAGTAAACTGCTCTGTCTACATTGTAGTCCAACTATTTTAACAGTGTCTCTTTAATTTGATCTTTTTTTTAAATAAAGACAACTTTCTTTATTAATACATGCGACCATTTCTTTAGAGCCTCATCTTTTTTCCTTTTCTTCTCTCTCTCTCCCTGCTGTATGTTCTGAAACCTTTTAATCCTCCCTCTCTGAGTCTTCAGTCATTGCTGCAGGCGGTGTGTCTCGGACAGCCAAAAAAGTTTTGTTCTCTTCAGCCTGCTGCAGGTCAGAGGTTAGAGGCCCTGAGAATGTGCTCAGTGCTGGCCCCTGGTGTTAAACACCACCTCACTGCAGGTGATGTTTAAAGATTAGAGGAGTTATAAAATGTCTGAGCAGTTGTCAAATGTAAATACCTTTCTACAAACCTGTAAAAAATTCATAATGATATGTATGTTTACTCCACACAGAGTAATGGACCACAACACATCCATGAGTCTTCAGGGTCACGTGGAGGTTTCTGGCACCGTTGTCATCAGTCAGACTGTACTTATATAAATGATATTTATCTGTGTCTTTTGATTGACTTTCTCACTTCAATGGAGGAGCTGGTCTCATTGACTCCTGTGATGTACGCTGTATATGCAGCCTTTGATTGACACATGCTCACCTTTCAAGATGAAGAACACTGCTATTTAACCCTGGCTGCCTGTAATGACACATGATCCGATCCATTTACCTACAGGTCGACCCAGGTTTCATCAGCAGCCGTCTGACCAAACAGTTCCTGCAGGGGGAGCTGCCCGCTTGGCGTGCCAGGCTGATGGAATTCCTGTACCTGTGATCACCTGGGAGAGGAATGAGATGTCTGTCCCTGAGAACACAAGGTGACTTGTCTGTTTACGTCATTCACCTTGTAGTTTTGTTATATCTCAACACCAACTAATGAACACAGATAACATTTGCTGAAAGAAATCATTCCTGGAGTTTGACAACCTTAAAGCAAACGAAAAGTACACTTTTACTTGTTTTTTCACTTGTTTGTCAGAAAGAAATCATGAGAAAAGATTAGTTTGTTAAAATTCCAACGTCCAACAATGATCGCTGCTGCTGCTCTGCGCCGCGCCCCCCCCCCCTTCTCCCGCCCCCCCCGCCTCCGGCTGCCGCCGCTGCTGCTGCTGCTGGTTACAGACCATGAATCAAGGAACGGCTCACGTGTGTTTGAACTCTTTAAATCCCTGTGGATGGAAAAGCAGCAGTGTTGTGCACGATTTCCATCCACAGGTAATAGACATAAATACAAGTCATGTTTTCTATGGTGGGTTTAAGAAGTACTGTAAAAATGATAAAGAGAAGGTCTGTGCACTGAGAGTGAAATGTGCAGTGAATTTATCTGAGTTCACGTACAGTTCCTGCTTTTAGGAACTCTCAAACACTGACAAGCTGATAACAAATAGACCAAGGAATTTTTCTGTGCATGTTTTTATTGAACAAAAGCCACTAACATTAACAGGTTATTATATTTATTAGGAAAAAAAAACAGACAGAGAAATTACAGCAAGTGTTCACTGGACGTTCTTGTTAATCTGGCATTGTGTTAAAATACATTTCAAATTTGAATCAAAACAATCCTCACGAATGAATTAATATTAATCACATGATGTTACTTCATCTGACTGTAATTTTATTTGAATATTAAGGTGTTTTTAGTCAAGGTAACAAACTGACTTTAAGAAAACAAACTTGAAGTGTTCAGTGTTCACTGAATGGAATCCATGTGCTCATGTTCTGTTACTCTCATCGACATCCTTGAAGTGCTCTTTGTGTTCTCTGAGAGTCTGCTCTGGGATTCAGATGAGGAGTCTGTAACAATGTTCTGAAAACTGCGCTGTATTTTCGGTTAGATTTAAGTTTGATAAAAACATATTTTTATTTTTTTATTTATAATAAAAAGATCTGGCTTTGAAAATCACAGTAATCACATTTTAAATGACACCTGAATGTATGGTTTGTTGCCACAGATCTGTGTTGCTGTGTTGCTGTCTTTCCTTCTCACAAAAGTCCTCGTTTACTGTGTCACTTAATAATATTGACATTTTTCTG